TATCAGTGGTGAAGAAGTTGCGTAAAGATTTTGGCTGGATGGTAGCCTTACGATACTGCAGACTAGTACGTCAGAGAGTTATGCGTGAAACGGTGGATAAGTCTATAGGAAACTACGCCGAAGTACAAGAAACTCTGTTAGTGGAAGCTAAAACAACCGCCGAGAGTTTCAACGAACGGCATTATAAAACAAATCCCTACGCACCTGGTAAACCAAAAGCCAACATATGCCCTTTAACAAACAAGTCAAAATTCAATACAACCTCGTCCTCGACAAACCACGCAACTACATCAGACAATCGCCACTCGTACACAAGCAGCTATAAAGGTAATGGAAGAGGAGGAAAAAGTAACGGTTATAAAGGTAGATTTGACGATGGTAGACGCAAGAACGAGTGGAGGCGGGAGGACCGTTATGCCAACGACAGGTATACAAATGATCGACATGCTCAGCGCAGAAGCAGAAGTAGAAGCCCTGACCGAAGGGACAAGAATGGAAATCCAGTAAAGGGGAAAAAAGCGTAAGCTGAATAATTCCAAAAGTGGCGTAACGTCGTAACATGGTTGAAATGAAGTCGTATGACAAATGCTTGACCTGTGAGACATTACTAACGTGTTTTCAAAAACCGTTCTGTTTGCCCAAAAAAGATCCCCTTTGCCCGATGACCTAGTACGAGACCTTGCCCCAAAATCCCCACAATCTCAGGTTGAGATTGGCACAACTCCTTTTGTTAAACCAAACATATCTTCTTATCCAACACATTCCAAACACCCTTCTAAACATTCCAAGTACCCTTCTGAGAACCAAATGGAGAGGATGACATCTACCATACCAGACTCTATTACTAACAGAAGTCCAAACCTAAGTCAGAAACCGGAAGCAGAAGGTGAAGAAGTTCATACAAAAGAAACAAGGGGACGAGTGTGGCCAACTAAACCGTCGTGTGAAATGAACTTGGAAGCGTGGAACGTAGAATTAAGGCGTTACAATTTAGATAGAAAGTACAGACATATAATGAAAGGTTTCGAACGAGGTTTCGACCAAGGCATCAGAAACGCCAGAATACAAGGAATGCGGTTCTTCTGCCCAAAGAATCATAAATCAGCTTTACTAGCAAGAGAAAAAATTGAAGAAAACTTCAAGATAGAGGTGAAAAGAGGAAGAATGTTCGGACCTTTTACAAAAGAGGAAGCTTACCAAAAATTCGGCTTTTTTCGCACCAACCCGCTAGGCGCAGTGATCAACGGCGACAGATCTTTTAGGCCGATAAGCAACTTATCCTACCCAAAGAATGACCCAGAGATAGAGTCAGTCAATTTCAGAGTAGACAAAGATGACTTCGAGACCACGTGGGATGATTTCAAGTCAGTGGCATGGTTTATCACTACTCACAATGGAAAAATTGTGTTAGGTATTTTCGATTGGGCTAAGGCCTATCGACAGATTCCAGTGGCCATGGACCAGTGGCGTTTTTTAATGATACTGGATTTCGAAGATCGTGTTTACGTCGATACAAGGGTTCAGTTTGGCGGTGTAGGAGGCTGCGGAACTTTCGGGGAGGCAGCCGAAGCATGGAAAGAGATAATGATTGTTAAGTTTAACTTACTAAAGGGCTTTCGCTGGGTAGATGACACCTTGTTCATCAAACCAGCAGATGGTTCGAACCCAACGACAATGCGCCAAATAGCGATGGCTAGCCAAGAGTTAGGCGTTGAGACGAATGAAAAGAAATGGCGAGAGTTCGATGAAGAACAAAAATACTTAGGTTTTATCTGGAATGGAAAAGATAAAACAGTGCGATTACCATCAGAAAAAATTTTATTAAGAATGGATCAGATAAAAGAATACGCACGTGAAGAAAAACAATCCTTCAAGAATACCGAAGTATTGGTAGGCAGACTCAATCACATAACCTTTGTCTTTCCACAGATGAGAGTCTACACCTCGGCAATCTACCGGATGATGAAAAATTGGGGGAATAAGTATGCATTAAGGTATATTTCTCCAAAAATACGAGAGGACTTACAAATCTGGTTAGATACGTTACAAAGGGCGAATCCCTTAAGAATCATACCAAGACCGGAAGTAAGGAACGTTGGTTGGGTCGGCGACGCGTCAACGTCTTACGGAATAGGTGTCATCGTAGGCAAACAGTGGTCACAATTTAAACTCAAAGATGGTTGGAGAGAACCAGAAGAAAACGGTGATAAACGCGGTATAGCATGGGCGGAAACAGTGGCGGTCAGAATTGGGTTGTTAATGGTAGAGTCTTTAGAACGAGTAGAAGGCATGAACTACTTGGTACAGACCGATAACACAGTAACCGAAAACGCCGTGGTCAATGGCAAATCGAAAGACCCATTGGTGAATGCGGAATGGAAGGTCATCCAAGAACGCCTCCTGACTAAACAATACGCTATAACAGCCAAAAGGGTAGTGTCAGCAGACAACTCAGCAGATGCATTGTCAAGGGGAAAAATCTCACGGAAAAGGAGAGCCAATAAATTATGGATTGACTTACCACAAGATTTGCATAAGTTTTTGCAACAGATGTAAACGTAGAACATGTGACCTCCTAAACCAAATAAAAGGAAGATGGCGACACGCCGGCAATTAACCTCCTTGAGTAACGCAGTGAGAATCTCTTCCTCAAAGAGACTAGTGAGAGTCCAAAGGTCCCAAAACTTGATGTGAAACAAGAAAGGCCAAAAAGCCCATGTTCACAAAAGTCGATGTCGCTCGGATTAGAAGTGAGAATCGAGAGTGACACACAGTCTTCCTTGAGGCGGAAAGTACATAAGAGACAACATAAAACGAACATCAAAAATAGTAGTCTCCAGGAAAACAGATCCAATGCCTTATCAAAAGAGAAAACGAACGACAAACACAGTTACACATCCATACATGGCCCCAGGCCATTTCGGCAGAGTAGCGAAGAAATCGTCAAAACCAGGGGAGCACCTGGCTCTTGGAAGTTGGGCTCGAACGACTCTTTCAGGGTACTTGTCAGGACTTTCGAAATACATAGCCTATATAGAATCAACAAGGAAGGAATTCGACAAAAGTAAACCGATCAGTTATAAAGAGATCTATGGTTTCATTACTTGGGCAGGGAGAACTAAAGCCGACATACCAAACCCCCCCAAAAAACCAATAGCTGCAAAGACGATCGACAAATATATTGATGGGATAAATGCCTGGCACATAGTGAGGCACCTGAAAAAGATAACAGTCGATACCGATATAATCAAAATGCTGATTAGAGCCACTAAACGCGAAGAAGAAGGAATCGTATTAGAATCAAGTAAAAAGCCAGTCACAATTCAAAATCTTTACAAATTATTAGTAGACTCTTACGGCAAGTCTGATGTACACGATTTGGTGGCGGATGTCGGATTAATCGCGTTCTGGGGGATGATGCGGTTAGGAGAGGTTTTCAGAAGTACAAAGTCAGACGGAGCAATCTTAAACCATCACGTCGAATTTGGACAATTGATAAAAGGGAAGTGGGCGAAAATCCACTTACGGAAAGGAAAAACGGCCTCCCCAAACGAAATCAAAATCATCCACCTACAGTCACAACCCTCTATCCTCGATCCCGTAAAAGCCTTGGAAAGAATTTTAAAAAGAAACCCAGAGAAAGAACGGGAATCGTGCCTGTTCCAAACAAACGAAGGCCTTTTGGACAAAAAGGTGTTCATAAGATACGTAGAAAAAGTATGGGGAAAGGCAACTTTAAACAAATGGTCAGGCCATCCATTTCGAGTAGGGGGAGCGTCCTTAAGAGCTAATTTAGGAACTTCAAGAAGCGTCATAATGAAAGTTGGACGCTGGAAATCGGAATGTTACAAACGTTACATCAAGGACTTCTCAGAGGAAGAGACAAAAGCTACTAAACTGTTCTTATACGCGATTAAATTAACCAATTGAGTTCGTACAACGATAGATTAAAGAATAAGGTTTAACGCATTACGGATAATGCCGTACAAAACCCGGGACTCAGTAGATCATTATGCACGCGAGTTTGAGTGTAAACGACGACTGAGAGGAAAGCTCGCAGAGCTTCTAGAAGCGCGAGGCAGGTAAGTTCAGCCATACAGTTAGTGGGGTTGCCCGTCAGGCCAAGGACGGCATGACTGAAACATACCTTCCTCGGAATAAGGGTCTACGGACAACCTCGTACTAACTGCCAGTAAAAGAACGAGAAAAGGGGAAACTAGCTTGTGAGCAACCAACGTTGGTTTTCTGAAACCAACGGTTGATGGACCGAACCAAAACTTTGGTTCGAGTGAACCATGGATTTGGTTTAAGGAAACCAATCCGACCGCTCGCTTCGCGCGCTTTCCCAACTAGCTCTTTCCTCACCACGAGGCAAGGAAAGAGCAAGGATGGTGTTGTTGATGAATAACTCATCAATCATTAAATGTGATAATTAATCACATAACTTGAATACAACTCATGTCTAAGAAAGTGAACTTAGAGAGTGGATTGATTACACCAAAAATAGGCACGCTTTGGTGGAGGTGTCCACGGTGGGTGAACTGTCACGTGACAGGTAGCGTAACATGTCACTCCTGAAGTACGAGAATAGAATTTGGAAATTTCCAAGTTCAATTTCCCTTTGGCAGAAATTCTTTGTACCTTCTACAGTTCTTCTCGAAACCAAAGAGATCAATCTATCTCTGAGTTTCTCTTTCAGAAAGTTAATTTATTTCAAATTCCATCCCGCCCACCCTACAGAATTTGCCAACCGTCCTTTCGATCAGGGCACGTTGTGAGCAACCAACGTTGGTTTTCTGAAACCAACGGTTGATGGACCGAACCAAAACTTTGGTTTGAGTGAACCATGGATTTGGTTTAAGGAAACCAATCCGACCGCTCGCTTTCCCAACTAGCTCTTTCCTCACCACGAGGCAAGGAAAGAGCAAGGATGGTGTTGTTGATGAATAACTCATCAATCATTAAATGTGATAATTAATCACATAACTTGAATACAACTCATGTCTAAGAAAGTGAACTTAGAGAGTGGACAAAACACACTAGTCCACCAAGATCCAGTCCAACTCAGAAAGAAGACGCTCCAAATCAAGGAAGTCTACACTCAGGAATTCGAACCAGCTTGCGTGTTCGTGGAACTCCACGATTATCTGGCAAACCTGCTCAAGTCAACCGCCGTATCCCAAGCAAGCGTGGAACTGCCAGTGGCCCAGCTTCAAAGGCAACTGCTAGCGGCAGCGGTTCAGCTCAACAAACATCAGCCGCTGGTCAAATCAAAGAGAAGGAACTCGATGGAGGTAAAGCTAAAGGGAAAGAACCCAAAGGCTCTAAATCGAAGGATTCAACCACTCGTGTACCCTCTCCTCCTCCCTTGTTTTTAGAAGACGATCTTGCAGATCTCAACGGAGATGGTGAAGGAGACGCTAGTGGTAAGTTGTCTTTCTCCCATATTTGATTTGAATTCTTCATTTAACACGCCTTCTCCTCCTCCCTTTTTTTAAAGATGATCTTGTAGATCTCAATGAAAATGGTAAAGTCTCTCCTCCATATTTGATTTAAATTCTTCCTTCAACTAACACGCCTTGCATCTTCAACAAATCAAACCAAGAACAAATCAAAAAAGGCCACGACAATGACGATGAAGATGGAAATGACAATGACGATGAGGACTACAACATCAATGAGGACAACGATGATGATGACAATGATGACAATGGTCCAGGCCGATCTTCAGTTGCTGGTAGTCAAAGCCCTGCTGCTAAACCAGCAATTCCAGCAATTCCGATGCATCTCACTGGTCAACAATTACAAACCTTCAATGAGCTGTCTAGTATTCTTGAACTCAATGAAGATTATAAGGTCAAGGGACGTGAGCTCTGCAATGTAAGTAACGTAATCCACACTTTCCATGAGAGAGAACACAGCTCAATTTTGACCTATAGGTACACAAGAAATCAGACCATTTCACAGCCATGATGGTAAACCTGCTTGCATCTCAACAAAAGCTTGATGATTATCACGAGGTTGTTACCAGCAAGATCACCCAATTACTTGAAAGTTTATCATCGGTATCAGGCCCAATGAAGGGGTGGAACCCGGCCCACGAGCTTAGGGTAAGTCAAATTCAAATAACAATCAAAGATACCATTTGTTCTCTGATGTCTTGGTCACTTTAAGCAAACTGTACGTATGATAGCCACTCAGTGCATTATCACAGGTGATGTTCAAGCATACACGGCTACCCGGGACAAGCAAGGCAATCAAGAGCATCTTCCCCTCTCTCTGTCTGCAAAAGTTTTGGTAAATCAAATTTTCTGAATTGTTGTTCTCTCATACTTTCTTTTTTCACTGATCTCATGTTGCAGGATAAAATTCTCGAAAATCCGTCTGAATGGAGAAAAAGATTCCTTCCAGCCCAATATGGCAGAAATCCGGACCCTGTTGAATCAAAAGACTTTCACAAGTGGCTTAATGTCATTTTGAAAGAGATCAGAAAGTATCTGAATAAAATCGTAAGCAATTTCATTCCTATCTTCACCCAGACAATCAATTTTGCATCTTTTTTTTCCTTCTACAGCTCCTCACCAACATCCACATTCCAAATCGAGCCAAGAAAACACCGTCCCTCTTGAACGTGCCAACCATTGAGTCGATCATTATGAAGGTAAGTAGCGCTCAGTACCTGTTCTTCTAACAATTTTTCTTTCTTTTTTAGACTCATAGTTCGAATATCAATAGATCTATGAAAGAGAACACGACTTTATCGGAGGCAAAGTGCGTGTCCGTGAAGATATTCTAGCAGAAATAGATCATCTTTGAAGAGCTCGTTATGCGTGGCTTGTAAGTTGCATGCAGATTGCCTTCATCTCATCCCTACTACATAACAAAGGCTGATTTTACAATATGGTTTCTAACAGAGGATGCAAGTGATCCATTGGGGCTACAATTTGGAGCATTACCACAACCATTCGTTCTGGGGAGTTGTAGACGATAAGTTGGAAGACTTGCGCACTAAGTCTGTCCGTTATTGTTATGCGTGAGTTTTACTTGTTTTGTTGTGTTTGTAATTCCCTTTGATTGATCATTTCACATTATGATTCAACACATTCTTTCAAAAAACAGCTACTTTCTCGTAGTTTTACGCTTTGACTTTGACCGATTTGATGGGAATAGGACCTTTACTGAAATCAAGGGAACCACCGACTTTGCGTTGCCAAGTGAAGATGAGGTTCAAGCACAAATCAAACACTTAGATCAGACTCACGGAGCTGTTATAGAACAACCAGAGGCCTCCCATCAAGAGCCCGAGTGATAGCATCACTTAGCTAGGTATGTAATATAAGAAGGATTTTGTTTTACTTTTTTACTTTGCAAGTATTTTTCATTTATCTCGTCTTCTGTCATGTAGCTGTAACATTTTTCCTTTTCTTTCTTTTTCTTTCATTTTCTCTCATGTAAGATTTTTCCTTTTCTCTCATTTTATTTGGTTTGGAACATCTTCTTTTCCTTTTGTAAATATGTTTGGTTATTGTTTCATTTTGTTGTCAATGGAGAAACGCATCACTGGTTAAGCGTACTGCAAACAGCAATGTGGACCAAATGAAAGCGCCGGCCTGCGAGCTGGACACAAAATTTGGAGCGCCCCTGATTTTCCACCACCCTGAAACCAGTTCAGAACCGGGCTTATAAGCCCAGTTCCTCCCAGGTTTGGCAGGGCACGTTCTACACACGTTTCCGCCTAGGCAAGCAGAACCGGTTCTTGACCAGGGGTCAGCCCTAGGTCAGGAACCGGTTTGGTGGGTTCGTGGTGTAGGTAAGTGGGTTGTCTAAAATCACTGATTTTGGCCTTTTTCATACCCAAAAAAAAATGTCTTTTTCAAAAAAATCCTGGTTTCATGTAGCTTTCACACCTGCGTCCCGGGGGTTTTCAGGGGTGTGGTCAATCAAAATTTGGTTCTCATACCTCCCAGACCTCCACATTTGACAAATTTTTCTGGCATGTTTGGAGAAAAATATTTTTTCAGTCAAAAGTTGCTCAAAAAAACACAATTTTGAGCTTTGCCGTGCATCTAAGCGGGACAAGTCTTTGTTGACCCCCCAAATCTAGCAAAATTCATACCCCTGTGACATCTACGTTAAATTTCACGGATTTTGGAGATTGCGAAATTCATACATCCACGCAACCACCATTTTTTGAAAAAAATCAGATTCATACCTGTCACACCCCCATGTCAATTTTTTTTTCCCAAAAATTCATACCTCCCACGTCAACCGGCTTTGGTGGGGTTTGCCAGGGTCCTGGGGCGATGATTTCAACATAATTGCATTTGAAGTTCAACTACAATTATGTTATGTATGTTTCTCAGGCGCAATTTATGGTAGTAGAAGGTAGTAGAACGTCAAATACATACAATAGATTTTGATTTAAATAGATCCCAATAGTGCACTCATGCCCAATTGATGTCTTGCACAGCCTTGGCTTTGGCAACTCCATTCAAATATCTTGTAAATTTGATACATATGTACATACTATGATCAATATTTTGACCGCCAGGAAAATCTGCTTTCAAAGGAACGATTTCAAGATGGTGACAAATAATTGGGGTGGATATCTCCAAGACCGGATCCATAACAAATTTCAAAGGAATCACACGTGAGAGTGGACCGTTCAGGTACACCTTAGAACGGGGAGTCAATACAACAATTCTTGTGGGTTTAAGATTGAAACATAGTATATTTACTATTCAGACATTCAAGTTTGAAAACAAGCAACTGGGTCAAAGTGTAGTTCAGCATTCAAAGCAACACTTTTGAAAACCAAATCAAGGAACACTTTGGACGAGAATAAGAAAGATAAAAAACAGAAAACAGAAATAAGTGGGAAGATTTGAAAGTGATCATGGCCATTATATAAGTCAAGCAAGATCACACGTTGTGGAAAGCAGAAAATATGCCTAAAAACATCTTTTTATATCAAGCATTCTTGGCTCAATTTTTACTTGCACTCAAATTTTTTTACTCGCACTCGTGACTCTTACTCGCACACTCATTTTTTAATTCAGTCAATTTAATTTTTTATTTTCATTCAAAAACAAGAAAGACAACTAACATAAAAAAAAGAGAAAACAAGTTAAAAGAAAATAAAACAATAGAAAACAAAAGAAAACAAAAGAAAACGATAAGTTAAAAGAAGAAAAAACGAAATAAAGACAAAGAAAAATAGTCAGATGGACGGATAAAGGAATTGGTCGGAGCAGGGTAGAAGGGTCAAGTGATTCAAAAGAACATAGACAAACTACACTAAGAACAAACAAGAAACAGCATTAGTCAAACTACATATAAAAGAGTAGGTAAATAATAAACTTACATAAGTAAAAGCCAAGATAACGATCGGTGAAAAATCTCGAAATCGAAGCTAAATAGGAGCTAATGAGGAGGACGGATCTTTCTAAGGAAGAAAATATAAATAAATGAAAAACAGAAGAAGATTCATATAGATAAAAGAATAAATTGATTAGTAATAGAATAAAAGGAAGGAGATATGAAAGAAATACATACCCAGTTTTAAAACCAAAGGATCGAGTCGAATAGGGGCTAAAAGACACAAATAAACCCTTCGATTAGAGGATTGAAAAGGGAAGGAGATAAAAGAATAGATCGATTAGTAAAAGAACAAAGATAGGAGGAAGGTAAAGAGAAACAAACAGACTTACCTGAGAGTAATTGGACAGAACAGATCGGAATTGGTCGGAGCGAAAGGAACGAAGCGGGGAAAGATTGAGGAAAGAGCCTTGAGGCTGAGTTGTGGTTTGGGTAGGGAAAGATATAAAAGGTGGAGGTTGTTGGTGTTGAAGGAGGGGAGCTTGTGTGGCATCATGTGTAGAGATGGTAGTGTATCAATCAATTGTGTAGTTGTGTGTTTTTAAAGTGTTGTGTTAGTGTTTTAAAGGTCGCTCGATTGATCTAAAAGCGTTAAAGTGTTTAGTGGCCTAAGTCGAGAAAACGAGTAAAAAGAAGTTATTAATTAGTTATCAAGTTTAAAAGAAGAGTGTTAAGAGAAAGTGAAAAAACTTACTTGTTTAAAGAGAATTGTGTGTTGTGGTGATTCTTGATCCTATACGTTGAAGTTCACGCTCACACCCGGCGCCTTTTTCGTGGCCCAGGGCATGGCCGTGGCCATGGCCTGCACCCGGTGTGGCCTGCCACGGTCAGGCCCTTTCTAGCCAGGGGCTTACAGTGGCGCCACAATAGGGGTTGGGCGATATTTTGACCAACCGGTTTTGCGCCTCTGAGAAGCCTAGCAAAAGCAGTTGAAGATGGTGGAGAACAAGTTTTATGGGTTTCACACATCTCTTACGGATCTGAGCTCAGGGCCGAGAGTGTTAAGGTGATACCCAGGCAAGCTTTGGCCTGAAGAGAAGGGTTAGGGGATCTGTGAAAGGTGCAAAAGGCGTGTTTGCATGGCTTGTACTTCAAGCCCAGCGGCGCAAATTGATTTTCCCTGTAAGACTTTTGAACGGGTGAAGCTTTGGACCCCTGAAGACGCACTTCGTACCGGTCTGTATTTTTGCAAAGCAAAAAGACGGATCAAAATGTTGGTTAGTTATGAGTGGCTTTGGTATTGCTTTTGAGCAATCTCCAAAGCATTCCTAAAATATTGAATTGCGACTGAATTGCGTTAGGAAACCGGTTGGTCGCTTTTTCGCCCAACCCCTAATGGCGCCATGATCTGGGGCGCGGATTTGAGAAAACACGACACGCTATCGAGCGTTTACTGATTTCTCAATCTCCCTTGATCCAAATCTCTGTCTATGGAACAGATGCCACTCATCCACTAGCATTTCTTGTTTATGTTTACATCGATCTCTCCATTTCTCATTCTACCTTTTATGCTTACTGACTTTGTTACCCTTTCTTTGTGATGATCAATTGTGGATAATTGATTTTTATTTGAGTGTAGTGAATTGTAAGTTTTTCTATCGTTGATATCTTTTATTTGGCTCGCTTTACTATCATCTCTTGAGTTTGAGCAGAGGATCAAAAGAAACTCTATATTGTGAATGGTATCATGAAATGAGAATGTTTGATGATTGCCGAGCTCGATTTTGGTCACTGCCCCACCCTTAAGCCTCTCCTTAGGGGGCTTAGCTGGACTTGATGCCCTGCTAAGGCCACGCAGGGCCCAGGGCCATGGCAAGGGCCATGGCCATGGCCCTGAGCCCTACCGTGGCGCCACGAGGCTTCGTGGCTTCGGGTGCGAGCGTGAGTTGAAGTTGACACCGTGGGAATTATTGAGTTCAAAACCCGATTGAGCAGAATTGTGGTGTCCGAGTCCGCAACTTGTCTCAATCACGGATCTAGTTCACATTACGTTCACAATACGTTCACAAGTTGCCCTCAAGCTGTAATCACATGGGCTGACGGGCCAAGGACGGGTCAGGTTCCTTTGCCATCCTGACTCCATTGGATTTAAGGGTGCCACAGTCATCAAATCTGGATTTGCCAAACATTCTTGAAGGCATGTCTATGGCAAGCGTAAATAGCAAGGACAGGGAACGTACTATGAAAGACACTTGTCGGTCTGAAAGGGGCCTTTGTATGTCTCATGACAAAGGGTTATCAGAAAAACCCGAGGGAAACTTGTGAACGTATTGTGAACATAATGTGAACTAGATCCGCAATTGAGACAAGTTGCGGACTCGGACACCACAATTCTGCTCAACCGGGGTTTGAACTTAATAATTCCCATGGTGTGAGTGGTAGAAGGATAGTGGGATTTTTTATTTTATTTTTTTAATTTTGGAAAGTCAGTACTTGAGTCAGGGCCAGATCAGGGCCAATGGGAAAGGACTGAACCTGGGTTCAATTCCAGGCCAAGTTGTGTGTTTTTTTAAAATTGTTTTTTTTTAAATTTTTGCGTGTGGCTCAGTTGTGGGAGGGATAAAAAGGGTTTAAAAAGTGTGAATATCCTTGTACGGGGTAAATTAGGTTTACAGGAAACTCGTAAAGACGGAAGTGTCAAGAATTGTCCTACGTAATTTTTTCGTAGAATATTTAGGTTGAAGGCAGCTTCGCAGCATTGTAGTTTCATCCGTTCTTCTAGGCGGTGATTCTTACCTTCTCCGGCTCAGCCTACGCTACACTGCGTAGGAGTTCTACATCTGGTGACTCCACTGGGGCGATTTGAAACAACTTTTTCCGGCTTTGCAGGTGCTCATCCGTCAACATCGTTTCTCGACATCTCATTCGGTCAATTTTTTTCAATTCATCAATTCATCAAAACTCAATTCAATACAGTCAACTCCCTCTAAG